TGAAGAAAATATAACTCGAACTCCAATGTCTGAACAAGAAGATGGTCCAGATCAAAATAGAGTGATTGAAGAAAATATAACTCCAACTCCAATGCCTCCAAATCCACCTCCAGTTGCCCAAAAAGAACCTATTTATGATATCAGTCGGCTTCCACTTGATCCGGGAGAAAGACAACCCATTGCAAATTATCCAGTCAATGATCAAGATGCAGTTCGACGATCTTATATTATTAAAGGTCCATTCCAACCTTATGCACATCAATTTGAAAGTAGAAAAATTGGAAATAGGGATCGACAATTCAATCCTATGTGGTTTTATAAATATCCATAGATTGAATACAGTGTCAAGAAGGAAGCAGCATTTTGCTTTGTGTCTACTTGTTTGGAAAGGAGAAAAGTAAGAAATCTGCATTTGTTGAAGGTGGTTGGAGAAATTGGAATAGAAATGACGCACTTGATTTACATGTGGGAAGTGTAACAAGTGCTCACAACGCAGCTCAAGAAAGATATAACTTATTTATGACTCCCCATGGAGCAATTGATGATAAAATTGTGAAGGTGGATAATGAGGAGCGCCGTCTCTACAAGATTAGGTTGACTTATTCACTTAGATGTTTGAGATTTCTTTTGCAGCAAGGATTAGCATTCCGTGGGCATGATGAAAGTGAAGAGTCTAGCAACAGAGGGAACTTCATTGAGCTTTTGAAGTGGCTTGCAGCAAATAATGAAGAGGTCGACAAGTTTGTTTTGAAGAATGCTCCAGGTAATTGCACATTAACTAGCCCAGACATACAAAAAGAAATTATTCAATGTTGTGCAATGGAGACTAGAGATCAAATCATTAAGAAAATTGGGGATGATCACTATACAATTTTAGCTGATGAGTCTAGTAATGTCTCTCATAAAGAACAACTAGCCCTTTGCTTGCGTTATGTTGATAAATCAGGAAGGCCATGTGAGCGGTTTCTTGGAATTGTTCATGTAGATGATACTACTTCTTCATCACTTAAGGAAGCAATTCAATCTTTACTAGTTAGTCATGGTTTGACTATAACTCAAATCCGTGGTCAAGGCTATGATGGGGCTAGTAACATGAAAGGAGAGATTAAACGGCTGAAAACCTTGATTATGAAAGAATCACCCTCTGCTTATTATGTTCACTGTTTTGCACATCAACTCCAATTGGTTCTTGTTGCTGTTGCCAAAGACAATGATGATTGTGTGTGGTTTTTTGATCGAGTATCCCTCTTGCTAAATATTGTTGGTATCTCTTGTAAGCGTCATGGCATGCTTCGACATCACCAATATGCCAATGTCATGAAAGCACTTGAGTGTGGTATACTAGAATCTGGAAGTGGGTTAAATCAAGAGATGGGACTACCTAGACCTGGTGACACTCGATGGGGTTCTCATTATAAAACTGTGGTCAACATGATTGCTATGTATCCCACAATTCGCGATGTACTCATAGCTCTTGGACGAGATACTTCACAAAGGGGTGAATGGCCAAAAATACATACTATGGTTGGAGTGTTTGAGTCATTTGATTTCATTTTCAGTGCTCATTTGATGCTTGATATTCTTGGACATACAAATGAATTGTCTGAGTGTTTGCAAAGAAAAGACCAAGATATCCTTAATGCAATGTCACTTGTCCGTTTGGCAAAGAGTAAAATGCAGCAAATGAGGTCTGAAGGGTGGGTTTCATTTTTTTCAAAGGGTTACAATATTTTGCAACAAATATGGTATTCAAGTTCCTGGAATGGAACATAATTATGTGCCATATGGAAGATCAGCACGTTTTGCTCAGGACCAAACAAATGATGATCACTTTAGAAGAGAAGTATATATTGGAGTCATTGATAAAATTAGTCAAGAGCTTGACAGTCGGTTTGATGAGGTAAATATGGAGTTGCTTACTTGTATTGCTGCTTTGAATCCAGTAGATTCCTTCGCTTCTTTTGATGCAAACAAGGTACATAGACTTGCTAAATTTTACCCTAATGATTTTTCAAGCTCAGACTTGCTTAGACTCGATCTGCAACTTGAAACTTTTATTGATGACATGAGGAAAGATGAAATGTTCAAAGGCCTAAACAATCTTGTTGACCTCTCAGTAAAACTTGTTGAAACAAAGAGGGATAAAGTTTATCATTGGGTCTATTTACTTATCAAATTGGTATTGCTTCTACCGGTGGCTACTGCAAGTGTTGAAAGAATATTTTCTACAATGACCTTTATCAAGAATAAGTTGAGAAATAAGATGGGTGATAGCCTTCTCGATGATTGTCTAGTGACTTTTATTGAGCGGGATATGTTCTTACAATTGAGTGAAGAAGAGATCATCAACACTTTCATGGCTATTAGAAGGCGAAGGCCTGACAAGAAGAATAAGAAGTAGTGACATATTCTTCTTCAACTATTATAGGTATGTAATATTTCGATCAATTCTACGTTAAGAAAGCTATACTCGTCTATTTTAACAACTCTATATGTCCTTTTTCCTTTAATTGTATTTTGTAATTCATATACTTGTGTACTGATAAGTTAAATTTATAGCGGTTAAAAAAATTTAGACACTGGACCACCATAGCTACAAATCCTAGCTACGCCACTGCATCTAGACATATATTATATTTAGATACATAGCAAAATAGATGTATAAAAAATCAAAACGATTTATATTTTAGAACGGAGAGAGTACGTTGTATAACAACAGGTTCTAGAAATATACTGAAGGCAAGGCTAATAAAAGAGAAATATTTACACCCTATTGAACACACGACACCTACGTTGGATATGCTCCATGTCCGCAGGCCCATGAGCGGGCTAGTGGGCTGGAAGCTAAATGCTTTGCTCATTTGCCCGTCACAATTCACAAGCTACAAACAAATGGACCCCTATGAAATACGGATGAACTATGCCAAAAAAAAGATGTGAATTTTTTTACAAGATACAATAATGAGAATAATACGTTTTCTGTTTTTTAGTGGAATAATACATTTTCTTCTGTTATTACTATTATAGCCACAAGGAGCAAGCAACAGCACTGGGTTGGGATCATTTGGCAGACAGCACGTTGATCCAATCCGGCCCAAATACTCGTGTGTTCTGCTTCTTGGACCTCCGCATCTTTGCCTTCAACTGCTTCTTCATCATGTTCTGGCGCGGACTCCGTTACATCAGTACATCACCATCAGCTGGGCAAACAGAACTTGTTCTCACATAGAGCATTCGATGGTATGTGGCATCAAATCCGGTTCCAAACACCGCCTGTCAGGTGTGGTGTTCGGTCAGGGTAACTTCCCTCATCGGAACGTAGGTGTCCCTTCCTTCCTAGGAATCCCAAATCTGAGCCCTGTTAGACTCAAAAAAAAAATGAGCCCTGTTCATCCAATGCTTTGTTCAGTTGCCATAGCATGTAAATGTAATGCCTTCGGCTGATTTCCTAGAGCTAAACGGGTACTGTCACTCTTTCAGGTGCTACTGCCTGTTGCTACCATCTGGTAATTCCAGCACTCCACTGCATTGTTTCGGTGTGTGGTTTTTCTATTTTCCATCTGCACTGAGACCCCAAAGTCACCAAATATTTTGGGCGCTCGATTCACACATCCAGTAAGTTCAGAGATGTCTATTTGGTGTGCTTCTTGTCTCATTCGTTGTACTTTTCGTTTATCACTTCCCTTGAATTGTACTTAGCGTCAGGGCATTTGCTCTGACTATGTGATCTTGGCGATAGCCAAAAGAGAAGCTCATGGGCAAATACAGGATATAAAAGGCACATAGATTTTTATAAACCATAGTAATATGTCAAGCATGGTCAATCAGACAAGTTGGGATCATCGATCAACAATTATGTTATCCATATATGGCCATAATTCAGAGTAAAATCATAACACGAACAGTGAGCTCACAGGTATGTCACATTATAATGTCTTTTTGTTCACATTTCACAGCTAAAGCGACACATAAAACAGACTGGAGGGACTACTAATTGCAAACCAAAACAAATGGGATTACTCCAGCAACATATTGTTCACAATTACATAAATTAGTTAGTGATACAATTGTTGTGCCCAAGATTGCATCTAGAGCGTATCACCATGGGTGAACTTACTCTGCACCACAGTTTTACCTCGCACAGCACGCACTAGTTCACCATTCAGCGAGCATGCCTTCCATCGAGCTTGTCAACAATTTCAACTATAGAAGGTCTCTTCTTCTGATCGATATCCACACATTTTAGCCCAGTTTCAATGCATGTTTTTACTTGCTGGAGGCTGTCTGCATCTAGTGATGAGTACTTGGATGCTATGTGCTCATCTGTCCATGTTTGACGAACCTGCACAATTAAAATTATGAGCCTAAGTGATATTATACAAACAAAATTAAAATAAGCATCTAAAAATATATTCTGGTCTTCAAATGCACTAGTAGTAATATATATGTGGCCTTGCCTGATCTACAAAGTCCCTTGCAGACATGTCTTTGTCATGCGCAGAGTTCTTCTGTCCAGTTGTGATCTCCATGATTAGTACACCTAAGCTGTATATGTCAGACCGGGTTGAGATTTCTCCTCTGTACAGATATTCTGGAGCCATATACCCTCTGGAAAGCATGAACAATGTTGTTACAAAGATCATGGGAGACACAAATGTAAAGTATTAAGGTAACAAAACAGTGATAAACGAAATCGTTACTGGACTTACTTTGCTCCCACAACATTTATTGTGTTTATTCGGGTTTGTTCTTCACCAAAGAGTCTTGACAGGCCAAAATCCGCAATTTTTGGCACCATGTTATCATCCAACAATATGTTGGCAGGCTGAAGGTCCAGATGAACAATAGGCCTATCCGTTCCCTTATGTAGGAAATATAAACCCTGGCAGATGCCCTTGATTATTTTGAAGCATGTGGCCCAAGGAGGCCTAGAAGACATATCTGAAGAATGAGAACATGGGTCAAGAGCGCATTTCTTTCGTATATTAATGACAAAACAGCTATGTTGGACTGTGCATCCTCATACCAAAAATACACTTGGCGAGGTTTCCGTTGGGGGCATATTCGTAGCAGAGCATGCTCTCAACCACATCCACCAGAATGTATCTTCCATTGTGCTCTATCACTCTCTTCTGCGCTTCATGGCAGTAGCCATACAACCTCACTATATTCTCATGCTGGATGGCCATAAGGTTCCCAACCTCATTCTTGAACTGTTTGTCAGTTGCCACAGGGGAATTATCTGAGAGCTTCTTCACAGCAATGGCTTGCCCATCTTGCAGGAACCCCTGTCAGTTTGACCTCTCAGATACTGTAATCGGCATGCTTTTATTGAACTTTACTTAAGAAAAAACAAAGAAAGGGACAGTGTTTGAGCTTAACCATACCATGTAAACAGTTCCAAATGCACCTTGACCCAGTTTTCGCTCAGCAGAGAACCCTTTCGTAATTTCTTTCAGAAAATCCGCTGGCAGTTGCTTCGGTAAAGTACTCAGAAGACTAGGCTTGCCATCTCCGCTGGCGCCAGTGGCCATTTCTGACGATTCAAGTAGCTGTACCTGTACACGAGAGCTCTTCAGGAGTTATTACAAGTTCTACGAAATAATGAGGTTCTTCAACAAATTATTGCAATAAAAGACAAGAGTTTGCACGAACTTGAAAGTTCTGAAATCAATCGAAAATAAGCACCGACCTGGAGAACAGTTGAGGGATCCAAGCTGGGGAGAGACTGAAGAAGTGAAGAACCACAGGAGCTGTCGAGCTGAGAATCTTGAGATTGCTGGCGGGACGCGGGATGAAACTTGAGCTGCTGGGATTTGAAGACTATATATAAACCAACCCGACGGGATCTGGATCGAGACGAGGAGACTTGACTCTAGACGAAGACGCGCAATAGAAAGATTGGTGTTTTTCAGCGCAGATGAGCACGGTGTTGCTGCGAAGCTCCAAGCAGGGGATTCAGACCAGAACACAGGAGATGCGAGCAAAGTCGGTCAACGGCCGCGTTGTGTTGTGCAAGGGTCACACCAATACTCCTATCTCCATGCTCTAGCTGTCACTGTCAGCGTGTCTACGCCGTGTTCGGAAGAAGGGAGATGGCTTTGCTTATTTCTCATGAATATTGTATTGTTTTTCTTCGGTAACTACGATACAGGCTAATTTTAATTTGTGCCTTGTCGTACAGGTCCCCGTACTTTTTTCCGCAAATGAGGGCCTTTTTTATTTTGCGAATTGTTGGGCCCTTTTTCCCCGCAAACATAAGAAGTGGCTTACTCCTCTGTTTTCCAAATTATAAAACGTCCAGGCTTTTCTAAATTCATAACTTTTTCTATGTATCTAGATGTAAGTTATGACCCCATTTGCTTGAGGAATCTGGAGAAATCTGGATAAATCTGGAGGAATTTGTGAGAGAGAAACACTGTTTCAGATGAAAAAAGAAACGGATCAAGCCGGATTTAAGGGCACGCGAACGGGTGTCACCCGAATCTTCTTAGCACAATTTGCCATGACTTCGCTTCTCAAAGTGATAGCACTTTTCCAAGTCATAATCAATCTCATTCCAATAAAGATATCACAAGCTCAAAACTAATTTAGTGAAGATGTCCTAAAAATTATTGTGATGCTCCTAGATGTCACTTTTTCTTCCAAGAAGATATTACTTACATGCTCCACAATGGATAACTCTAGATAACATGTTAGGTAGTTCAACTCACGCTTCCTTAGTTGACTTAATAAACAAGATATCACTTTTTCTTCTTGTATAAGGACACATTCCACACCCTGACAAGGTGCATCATTGTAGATATGAAGCTCTTGTCTGGATCTAGCAAAGTTAATACTTAGGTTTTACTCCAACCTCTTCTTGGATTCCTTCAAACACTTACCTTGGGTTTCTGGATCCAAACTAACTTAAAAGCTTCTCTAGTAGCTCTACCAATAATTGATGATCTTAGATAAACCTTCCTTGAACCTTTAACTAAATCTTATTGGAACTCTGAGTTTCTCTCACATCTTTGGATACCACCACGCTTCTGCTGCGTAAACTAGAACGTATGATACTTCATCTTGTAAATTCTTCACCTTGGCTACCCCCTTAAGAAAAGATCAACCAGGGGACATAAGAAGGTAGCTTGCATCTTCTTCTAGATGAACTAACTAGTATCAAGACGTTCTGTCATTCCAATGATACTCCCGTGTATGAGCAGGAATAAGAAATCTGGAATTCCTCGCGAGCAAAAAAATAGCAGTGCGGTAAAACAGTTGTAACTCGCATTCTAATAATCCAATGAAGTTGTAGATTATACCGTTGAAAAGCTTATAAAATTCTCCACAACTTCGTTATAGAACACTTTTCCAAATTCTACAGCTAACTTGGTAAAAAACAGTGCACAACAGAAACTACTCCAGATTTTAGACAGCACGGTTGCATCGTCTTGTGATTTTCATAACTCCATAACCACAACAGATATGAGGGCGGTTGTTGTGGTCACAGAAAGATATCGAAGTCTACTATTATCCAAAATTTTCTCATGATTTCTAATCATCCAAAATTAGAGATATAAGCCAAAGAGTACAGACTGCTCCGAAAGGACAGAATAGGGAGAACAGAAAAAAACCATATCCCAACTATTTATTTCACTAATCCTTATACCTTAGGCCTATAAACTAAATGATATTGTGGGAACACCCAACAAGATCATTGCAATCATTACAAAGATGTGAAACATTCAGAAGCATAATGACAATTCAACAAGCAATAAAGGTGCACGATTCAATCGCTGACTCAACTTGCGATACTATCGTCCTCATTGTGCTAGGGGTAACAATCCTAAGACTCGTCTTCAGATTACGTAAGAAGGTGGTGAGGAACAGTTCTAAAAGCATATCAAATCAAGAAGCGAAGATGAGAACAAAGACTTTAAAATAAGCACCAAGGTAGAGATGAATAGCAAGGGTAGAAATATAGTAGAGAAGAAAATATCAATGTTCATAGAGTAAGGGTTTTTATAGCAACTTCTAAACCTTAGAACGACCAGTTTCTACTAGGCTTGCGTCCTACAATTAGCATTGCTTTGATACCACTTTGTAGCACTCGGTTATAAGAACAAAACCAGATACACAACATATATGAGCCCAGGAAGTCAAATATCACATATAGCTACAAATAAGGGTAATATCAATAGACAGTGCTCAATATATAACATATTTAGTATAGAGAATGTAACCTTAGATATCAAACAATGGAAAGACAACTCCGATCTTCGGATGAACACTCTAATTCCACAGGGACAACTGACTAATTGATCACAAGCCTAATTCCTCCAAACTATAGCAATCTAGTACCCATCCGGGATTTTCCCAAAGATTTAAAAAGTAAAGCAAGCGTAAGTACATGTTGTACTCAACAAATATAACATGAGATTCATGAGGCTCAAAAGGCTAACACTGGTTTAACTGCGATTAGCTTTTAATGAATCATCTTTTAGCAATTGGGTGGCAACAAGTTTATCCACAAGCCCATATAAACACATTATCAGGTAAACATAAATAATGAATAGCATAAATAGTAATCATTAGTGAGCATCTTTATCATCGGTATCATCAGTGTTCATCATCTTTTCCGTAAGGGTTTCAAGGCCGCTCGTGACCGTGAGCACGGCTGATATACCAGTTTTACACTCTATAGAGGTTGTACACTTTCACCATGAGTCATGATACCCATATGTCCGGGTTTGCAACTCCCAAAACACTTTCAAGATGAGCAGACAGGGTACACTACGAAGCTTTTCCCCAGTCGTTATAATAAGGAGCAGCCGCTAAGGATTCCATCTCCCAAGTGTTATGGAGTCATCTCTAGAAGTGGCACTTATACATACAGCATAGTACACACCCTGGGGATGAGGCTCATACCCAGCCTGGTATGTCCCTGTTGCCCTTTGAGTAAACTGCTACAAACTAGAAAGAGCAAGGTACTAGACTAAGACCAGAGCTATGTAGTCCTTATGGTTGTACTATAAGTCCCGGATGATCACTTATAGATAAGTCCTTAGGGAGAGAAATCTAGAGCACCACAAAAACAGCCCAATGCTCTAGCCCCCTTGTTCCATATTGCTAAAAAGCATCTTTCAATGCTTATTGCATATACCATTAGTCAAGTTACAAGATCATGGTTGTAGTTGAACACTAGCATCATACTACCCAATACAATACCCCATAGGTATCAAGGCACAAGGTCAAATTACTAGGAAATCTTTAGTTGTAATCAAGGTAGACACATGCAGTATGAATTAAATGATTAAAGGTGTATAGGACAATAAGGAAGATCCCATGCTATACTTGTCTTAAATTTAGATCCTTCTTCATGTCCAAAACTTCAAAGATCTACTTCTTAATTCACTACGTATAACTCACCGACTGGACATGATCATAAAGCACCACACAAGCATCCATGCAATCATACACGAAGTAAGCAATAGATCTAAATTAGAATAGTACACCAAACATAAAATCAAGATGAAAAGTTTGTAAAGCGAATCTACGTCTCGCTACGAACACACAGACGCGAAAAAACACACTAATCGGAGCTACGATGAAAAATATACAACTACCGAAAAATTTGTTTTAAAAAGAAAACTATAGGCTTCATTTATTTTAACTATATAAATTCATATATATAAGATATTTTATAAATAATATAAATTAAATTAAGTCAAATTTAGATTTGAATTATAAAACTAAAATAAAACAAGTCATATTTTATTTATGAAATCCAGTTGCATAATTATTATCTAAATTAGAAGTTAAACCATGAAATTCTAGTATTAGTGACATGATAAATATTGTCGCTAACACGTAGATCTCGTTGTAATGAATCTTGCACAACTTAAACGTGTCAATTCGGAGCTAAAACGTAGAAGATATGAATTAAACAAGATTTTCTTTATTAAAATAATGGATTAAATCTAACCTCAAATTTTAAAAGTTGAAAACATATTTAACAGTAGTATGAACATGTAGATTATGAAATTACGAACCTAACGCAAGTTGAACGGGTCAAATCGGAGTTAAAACATAAATTTTATGGCTAAAACAAGATTAGCGGCAAAACGGTAAATGAGTGAAAACGTATTTTGGTTCTAAACCGACGAAACTACGCTTTCCAAAGAAGAAAACGTAATACGTGATTGCGCTTTGGACCACGGGTTTGAAAACAGAAAACTGGAGGGGCTCTTTAGCAATTGTTCCACCCGAAGGGGTATCGACTTCTAATGGTCGTTGGATCTAGGATATGGGGCTGAGATTAGACAGGGATGGGGAAGAGAAGACTGGCCGGCTGGCGACGGGTCGGCGGTGAGTTCCACGGCGGCGCCATGGGCGGTGCTTGTCGAATTCGGCCTATAGACCACCATTGAACGAAGAAAGAGCACGGAGAGCTAGAGGAGATGACGGTGAACTCGTTCGGATACCTTAGCAAGGCGTGGAGCGGACGAAGATGGCGTGGCGCACGGCGAGGCGGACGGCGTCGGCGGCGGCG